TCATCATCGTCATCATCATCATCATCATCATCGTCATCATCGTCATCATCGTCATCATCATCATCATCGTCATCATCATCATCATCATCGTCATCATCATCGCCATCATCGTCATCATCATCATCATCATCGTCATCATCATCATCGTCATCATCATCATCATCGTCATCATCATCATCGTCATCATCATCATCATCGTCATCCAAGAAACATCCCCCAACTGACCCTGCAGTGTTTCACCGGGTCACATGGCGAATCGGCCGTTGTTCAGCTCCTGAAGTCTCAGCTCATCGGGCCGATTAATGTCAACCCCGTATTTTTTAAACCTTGGTTGATCAACCAGGGGGGTACTCCCCAAATAGTGGTAATTAAATGGTACCCCCCCCAATCACACAGCTAGGGGTTTCTTAATCCGGGATTGACATTATCTTACCAACACTTGGAAATAAACACGAATAAACTGCAAAAAAAGGGGGCTAAGCACGCTTCTGAAGGTTTTCAATCAGTCGGTTTTTCGAATGGCTCATGGGTCTGCTGCCTAACGGGCTACGTTAGCACCCGGAGACTACTAGCATCGGCCGCATGTTTGTCATTCATCGTTCCCTCTTTTTCTCCCGACCTCAGGTCAACAAGATCAACGATCAATCCAGATCTGTTCATCTAACCTCTCGGGACCCTCAAATGTCTGGTGAAACCTCAACACATCTTTACTCCATCTGCTGTCCCAAGTAATCTCCGCTGGAACTCTTATTTGTTGCATAATAAATGGGTGTTTCTCAATGTTTGAGACCACCATAGAAAAACCAACATCATCCAACATCAATCATTCTGTGAATAGTACATCATCCAATGTTTGGCGATGCATTTCCCCTCCCCCAAATTGTGCTTACCCTCTGGTTATTCAACATGGCTATGGAGAATGACTCATTTAATTAATGATATAAATTATGATTATTTATATACCTCTTTCTCTCTCCATGACCCTCTCTCGAAGTTTAGCATTCAAAGTTCTGCTCTTCCATAACAACCCATTCAATAACCATAGGGTACCCTCCAGTAAATTGACATAGACCCTGCCAGGTAGGGGTTGGAAGATATGTTTCCATTAAAAATTGCTGATTTTCAGGGTCTACCCTCTGGTAAACTAACAGTTTGCTATTGAAAATTGCCCAGTCGGAATAGTTGATTTACCCAGCTATAAAATGGTGATTGTCCATCGTTTTTTCTATGTTTACCATAGAAATAGTTGATTTACCCAGCTATAAAATGGTGATTGTCCATCGTTTTTTCTATGTTTACCAGAGGGTAAGTGCCACTAAATCCCATTAAATCCCATTAAACCACCATTTTCCTATGGTTTTCCTATGGTTTTCCTATGGTTTTCCTATAGGGATCCATAGGTCTGCCCCCAAACTCCGCGCGCCTTGTTGCGGAACTCCTCGTTGTACTGACCCAAGCTCAAAGGATCGCCGAAGTCACCAGCCTCCTTGTTGGGGTCCTGCAGCCGCTGGTTGTGGCTGACAGTTCGCCATGGTTAAGCCATGGCCCATTGATACATGATTTACCTATTAATAGCATGGTGATTTTCCATGGCTATGTTAAATAACCGGAGGGTATATATATATATATATGTGTATGCATACATTACCTCACCTTGACTTACCTTACGTTACGTCACGTCACATGACATGACATGACATGACATGACATACACAGATACATGGAGGTAAACCGTGCATATAAATGGTTCCTTCAATTCTGGAACATCGGAATTAAAGGAGTGGTGTTTCATCAAGAAGGACAATTGGGGCAGTTGATCAGAAACACTGACCAGCAAGAACTGGAGAGCTTGGCATTTCCGTCAAGGAAACTGAGAAGTTTGGAAGCAGGATAGCCCTCTGATATCCCCTGAAATTGATGTGGAAACTCCTTCTCAGAACGATTCTTCAGGGTCCAGCTATGGTAAAGCAAGCATGTGCTTGGAACATCTTGGAAGCCCGGGAGAAAATGGGAGGCCATTGGGCACCAGCAAAGGCGCTCACCGAGCCGTACAAGGCCTGGATTTTGATCACCCCAACCTTTCCCCATTTGGAATTGCCGATTCAGATGGATTCCCATTGAATGAATCTGCCCATTTCACCCCATTTCTGGATCAGGTCCTATATTTTGTCCTGCAGCCCCGTTTGTTCAACTTAAATCCCAGTTGTCCCCTTTTTCGGGAAGAATCCAAGTTCAATCTTGTAAAGGTCAGAGTCAATTCCGATGCTTCCACTTTTTGTTGGTGAGAAACATATGGAAAATATGAGAAGGCGCGCGAAGTTGAGGGCGGAGATCAAATTAAGACTCATGGCGCCGAAGGAGAGCCCCAACGTGGGGCTGCTCCAACATAGCAGTCCAACGAGGGGATGGCAGCAGCTCTGGATGGCAAGATGTGGGGGGAACGCAGTCCAAGTTCCCATGTTTTCAAGGCTAGAGTCAAAACCAAGTCCGACAGATCCAGTTTTTGCCGGTGAAAGGAAAGTATTGCCAACCCAACCCACCACCACAGAGAGTCGCCTGAGTCCACACGGCCAACTCCATGGCACCCGAGAGCAGGAATAGCGCAGCAAAGCCGTAGGTCCCAGGGGCCGTGGTCACCGCACCCACACCGGCAGGCACTGACTCCTTGGGGATTGAATCGGATGTGGTCAAGTTCAGTTGAATAATCACCCAATTCAGCATCTTGATCTTCACAACAGGCTTAGTGCATCCCAGTATCCCTTTTTCATTGGTCAATCTCCCCACTTTATCTTATGTGATGTATTGTTATGTGATGTATTGTTGTGTGATGTATTGTTCTGTGATGTAAAGTCACTTGAATAAAAACCATCCGTAACTCGGAAGATTGCTTGAAATCCTAGAACTTTCACTCCTCCTTGCCACCTCCACCCTGCCCTGCCAGCCAGCATCGAAACCGGGGAATTTGATGTAGTGCTGTGCCACTGCACCCAGGGCGGCCATCATGGCCACCTTGGACACTATGCATGTTTCGGCGTCAGATATTTGAAGGGCTTGAGAAATTGAATCACATATATACATGTCATTAAATATCCTGAGTCGTCTTGGATTTACATGTTGGTTATTGATGATGGGTTTTCTGATAGGTTTGTTTCGGGGGAATTTCTTCGTCCGGCTTTGTCCAAAAGCAAACCAAAAACAAATCCAATACTAATCAATGCAAAACGCCATCATTTAACACATTCAAATGGCCAAAAAAAGGCATAAACACCCCCATTCTTCGACAGACTCAAGTACAAAATAATAAAAGATATAGATCCATCCATCCCCGTTCTGAAGTGCACAAAATCCTCCGTGCAAAGTGCAAAGTCTTCAAACTTGACTCTTGCACCGGGGATGATGGGAAGTCAGCATCCGCATGTAGCATCATGTCACAACTTGGGCTTCTTCGCTGCTTACACTCCCAATCTTTGCTAGTTTAAGTCTTGCCTTAGATAAGTCATGTAAGGATATGTAAGGTCTATAAAAATTCAACTCCTCATCCTTTTTGTTACCTTCACATCTCTCAAAAACAATGTTCCCAGTCATTCTGGTGAACCAAGTTTTCGGGAGATGATCCGCCAGGGGACTCGTCCATGTTTGATCTCCGCAGCCCGCAGGTTCTGGAATCCCTCCTGGCCAACGGCAGGATATCAATTGCCTCCGTGGCCAAATTGTAAAATCATGTTCAAGAAAAATACCGTCCCTCTCAAAAACCCTTGCAACGGATGGGCACGCTGGGAGATAGAACATGATAGGCAATGGTAGGTAAAATTGGGATCTACCCCACAGTAGACACATCCGTGGATGCCGTAAAGGTTAGGATTCAGGCCTCTTGTTACCAGTGGTAGCCATGTCTCTGTATCATCTTGCGATCAATGATTCAATGATAATCAATTAGCTCATAGGTATCAACCACCGCTGCAATTCTGATGTCTAGCACCCGCGGAACTCCACCTTCCACCGGATCCCGCACCTTGTCACCCACCTTGCAGAATCCCGCAGGGTCAAAGTAACCCAAAGGTTCCATGGCGCCCACCTGCTCCAAGCAAATGAAGTGGCCATGTTTCAAAAGGGTTTTAACCACTGATATGGATTTCCACCAACCTTTTCTTGAAGACATGATTTAGATTGGAACTATCCTAGCCCAAAAAACAAAAATCATTATCCACTGGCATCGTGAGTGGGAGAATGACTCAAGGTAGGCCCTATGATAAACAATACTGTACCCAGCTCAGCACATATACATGTATGCATATAAATATGTATATTATATATATACATATATATATATATATTAGTTGTTAATCAAACATATTGATAATTTCGGGCTAAATAATTAGCCCTGTGCAAAAAAAAACAGCCTGTTTGGCAGGGTCGAAGGGAGGAGGCTTAGGAGGCTCCTCTGCATCTTCTGCCCGCAAAGGAGAGGCAGTGTACAAGCTCCAGTCTCCCCAGGCGGAGCCAGTCAATCCATCCTCACGTGTGAAGCAGCTGCAAACACATTTTTCGCTATCCAAGGTCTCCAACTGTTTGCCGCAAAGACTTGAACATGTGGAATTCAACAAACCTAAGGTTACAACATGTTATATACAATTTAGCACACCTAAGCTTGCAAGAACATACTTGAAGATGCTGAGCAAAACATTCTGGAGATAGCAGTTTGTTCCAAACAACTTTTGGAAACCAAGCACCTGGAAAAACATTCCGATGATCGCCATCATTGCCAATCTGCCGTTGGCCAACTCGGCCGCGAGCTTAGACTTGCGAGCCTCAGGGTCCTCGACCTTACCCAAGAAGGTGGGGAAGCCAACACCGTAGTTGCCTGGCTCACCAGTCTCTGTGGAATCCTTCATGCTGAACTGACCCTCACGAGGACCACGTCCATCGGTGGTGGAAGCTGCCTGGAAGAATCCAGTGGTCTCAATCAAACCAGCGAAGGCAATGATCTGAGCACCGCCGAGCACAGGCAGCCTTAGCATCCAAAACATAAACAACATCATCCCCGGCCATGGGTATTCTACGATGAAGCCCATGCTAATCCAAAATAATCCA